TTTGACACAAAAAAAGGTTTGAAAGTTTTAATAACAGTTCGAGAAAAGTATATTGTTATATTTACTTAACTTTAAGTTCGCGGTACACTGAAAATAAACAACAAAAAAGAAAATGAGCAATCTTCAATAAACACCAGTCTTTTTATCTCAGTATGTTATCCTATACGTGACTAGCTAGTTTTTCACAAAAATATCAGATATGCATAGACTTGCTTCACTTCGGATACCTCAACTAAATGCAGAGATTAAAAACAGCATATACAAACATCATTGTAGGTTGTGAACATACACCACATCACGTGTGCGAGAAATGGTTCATATTAAAGTATATTGACAGGCTGTTTATCACATGATAGCATGGAAAGACTGTATCATAGCTTGTTTCTCGTTAACTACAAGCAGGTTGTGCTCTAAACTATACTCTTCCTTTGAAAGAAAATGGTGTTTCCAGTTCATCTGAACTACACATTTGTTCACAGCTCGAGTCGCTATGGGTTTTTATTAACCCTAAAATTACCGATTTGTTTTTGTTTTACACTAGCGATGAGGGGGGGGGGGGGAAGCGGGGCAAATATTGAGTAATTTTATGTTTTTTATTGCCTGTCACATCACTCAATACGAAGAACTGATGGAAAAACTCGAGTGAAATCACTCATTTTGTAGGTGTAATATATAGCAGTAATTAGTGTAATAAAATGTAATACAGCTGGTGTGTTTAATAGTGTAATCAAATGTAAAACCGCTGGTGTGTTTAAATCTTTTCCCTTAAATCACCGATTATTAGAGACCGTGTAACCAACAAATCATAAACCCGCAAATAATTTGGTGATAAATGATTTTTACAAAATTTGTTGGAAAAGCCATTTGAGGCTGTTATCCATCGGTAACTCTAGGATTAATAAATATCACGATTTTTATATTATGTAGCAAGTTTATATATTAATATACACCAATCTTTACAAACTTTGTGGTTATTTTTTGTTTTAACCTTCTTAATTATTGTTACTTATTCGTTCATTAAACATGTGACGTTCGGTAACAACAATATGATGAGTTCCGAGAGGTGGTTTTTTCGTCGAAATTAATTCCACTATGTCTGTTCTTCACCAGAAACTTCTTCTTCTATCTGGAAGAAGAAGAAAAAAGTTATTCTGATAATCTGGATTACTTAAAATTTGATTCATTTTAAAAGAGCGTCATCCAATTTATATGAAAAAGAAAACTTGTGTTGAGCTGCGACATTTTATGCTAACAAGTAGAAATACAAAAAAAAAGTTTGTTTGTTTTGAATTTCGCGCAAAGCTACACGAGGACTATCTGAGCTAGCCGTCCCTAATTTAGCAGTGAAAGACTAGAGGGAAGGTAGCTAGTCATCACCACCCACCGGTACAAATGGAAAACATTAGTAAATTTAAAAGCGAATTAGATACGTTAAAGGAACGATCTATTGTCTTTTACACAAGGAG